TCCTTAGTTAGATGTTAGTTGATATTTCTGATCGGTTAAACTTAAGGCTCATTTTATAGTTCCCATTGTGATCCAGTTTGCTTACATAGGAACCCAAGATACCAGAGCTGTCTAAGGCTAAATGTTTCCCAATTCAGTATATAACATATTAAATACATATACATAATATATATGCATATATTATATACACATATATATAATGTGTATATTATATATATATTTAACTATAGTGTTTCATCTTACACATATTTGTTGATGAGGTGCCATAGTGTGTATAATTAATAGAAGTTTTAGCTTCACAGAATCCAGGCTCATATCCTACTTTATCATTTATTGGATGGCCCTGAACAAAATAGTTGCTTTATGCCTTTGGCTTTCTTATCTGTAAAATGGAGCTATCAATGAGAAACCACTTTGAAGATATCAATATGTAATACAACAAGCATTGTTAATTCCCTACCACTTTGTTTGTAACTCTGTATTGACTGTACTGTTCTTTTGCTATTTTGTAAAATGTTGTCTGTCTGTTAATGTTTTCCTCCTTTTATTTTTAAAATAAAAAAAATGGAGCTATCAGTAATGTGACGCTAATGATACTAATAGGAGTACTGAAGCTTATTGTGAGGATTATACTTGATGTTATATTGGAGCCAGCTTATACCATCAGCAGACTCAACTGTCAAATTTTCATAATTTTTACAAGCCAGTTATCAAACCTTTATGTAGTTTTAGGGTAGCCATGGTGGGAGTATTTATACCACAGAAATCAGCAAACACTATAAATCCGGCTCTTTCCCTCTGGAGAGCTAGTTACAATACCAGCACCCATTACAATGGACACATATTTAAAAGACAACATCATATGCAGGCTTCAGTAGGAACTAAAGTTGTTTGATATTTTTAATTGTTTGCCAAGCTAGTGGTGGTGTCCCATGGTAACAAAGAATGAAACCATGGGCGGAGGAAGTAGGGTACAAGCAAATTTATTTAAAAACTGTAAAGGCAAGGAAGTAAAGCTCCCACTAGCCAGGAGGGGATTCTGAGAAGGATACCCACAAGGGCTCTTTTCTAGTGGTTTTTAAGGGATTTCAAAGGGAGCTTGGGGCATTGTGTAAGCAACACAATCTCTACGCTATTGGGACCACATATGTTTTAGGGTCCAATCTATGTAGTCTTCATGCAGTGCCCTTGCAGGGCTCATGAGCCCGTGAGCTGGTGACCTCCTGATCACACTCTGGAGAGGTCCCTAATAGCTGAAGGACACCTGGCAGATGTTTTTGTAACATAATATATGACCTGAGGGTCATGACTCCGCAAACTCCAGTTTGGGCTGCACAACTCTATTTGGGGGCTGCTATCTTTATTGCCTAATAGAATCCTAACTCCTGTCTCACTAATGCCTATTACATTCACCTCTCTGAAGAGGTGACCCTAACTATCACTAGGCAAAAGGACAAAGACGGCTCTGGCTGCTTTGAACTGTACAGGGGCAGTAAGAAGGGGTCAGCAGTCAGGAGCACCCTTCAGAGGGCTTGTCTAGGGCTGGGGATTTAGCTCAGCGGCAAAGCGCCTGCCTGGCAAGCGCAAGGTCGTGAGTTCGGTTCCCGGTACCGGAGAAAAACCAAGAAAAACCAGAGGGCTTGTCTAGTGGCCCATAAAGTCAGGTGGGATCTTCATCTGCGTGACCATCTAAAGTTTAATAGACTCCCAGCAAGAGGAAACAAAACAACAAGGAGATCGAGTAAACAGGGTCCAAAAATGTGAAGGGGCAGCAACAGCATCAGTGATGTATAAAGGGTTCTGTAAGGGTCTAGTGGCACACTCCCTTAGGGATTTTTTGGAGGGGATACTGGGAATAGAACTCAGGACCTTGCACTTGCCAAGCATGCGCTGTGCTGCTGAGCTATCTCCCTGGTTTCCTTAGGGATTTACAGAGGGACCCCAACTAAATCTCTTGGTTAGGATTGTTATTGAGATTTTTATATATGTTTAAGTTCAGTAAGGCTAGTCTCTACCATTTTCGAGCTGGACATGTAGAAGCAGCCCATCTTGTTGCGCATAGCACAAGTTTGACCCTTTTCTGCAGCAAGAAGACCTAGTGCTTGCCTGTTTTGTAAGTCAACCTCAGCCAATGACTTGAGGTTGTTTTATTGGGTGTCAAGGGCTTTGACAGTGGCCTCTCATGATTGTTGAAGTATCACTGTTCAGGCATGGGCATCAGCTATGCCTATCAGCCAAAAAAATCGGTGAAGAATCTCTTATTCCAATCCCACCCACTCAAGGACAGGGTTATCAGTTCATAGGATCCCAAACATCTCAGAGATTTAACTCACATATAAATATGGAGGGGCCCCTTAAGAAACTTTTTGAGCCAAGACTGGGTGAAAGACTGCTTGTAGAAAGGAGTTCAGATTAGAGATGGATGCAGACGTTGGGAAGATGGATTGATTAAAGAATTAGGTGTCAGGGAGGGTACTGGCAACAATGCATCTTCTTCATGAGAAAGGGGGCTGGCAAGGAGTGATTGATGATGTAAAAGTTAGTGCTACAGCCCTTTGAACAATGAGGAAGCTTAGAAGGAACAACCTAGTTTCAAGCAAACCAACAAAAGCAAAACCTTAAAATAAACATATATATTTCTTTCCATTTTCTATGAATTTTCTTGATGTCCTTAGGCCTCCTAGTTTTGCCATTATCTTTCTTTTTTCCATCCTGACAGGGTAAAACCTTATCATATAAAATCTCATGTTAAAAATATATCTTTGTACTTACAATTTCTTCATATTTCTTAGTTCAGCCTACTAACTGATTTGTTTCTGTAACAAGCTTAATAGCTGCTTCAATTTTAAAATATCCCTAATGTAGTTTTTTCCCTTGGTCTCAGAGTGAGTTTATAGATGTTCACATTCTAATGAGGATTGGCTGACCAACAGACCTTCAGGAACCCTGAGCATCATCTTCTTATCCCAAACAGAAAGCTAAATCCAAAGACAGTATAAGAGTGAAATTATTGCCAGGGATATAGCTCAGCGATACAGTGCCTGCCTGGCAGGCATGAGATTATGAGGTTGATCCCTGGTACCAAAAAAAAAATTATTAAGATCGGAGCAGAAATGAATGACACTGAGAGCCAATTCTTTGGAATAATAAACAGAATTGACCACCCCTTTGCAAATGATACTAAGCATATCAACTCAATTATAAATTTAAAAAAGAAATCACAACAAACACCACTGAAATCTAGATTATTCATAACTACTTTGAAAACTTGTACTCCAATAAATTGGAAAATCCAGAAGAAATGGATACATTCCTAGATACATGTGAATTAATAAAATTGAATCAAGAAGATATAAAAACTCTGAATAACCCAATAATAGGCAATGAAATTGAGGTAGCAATAAAAATCCGATCAACTAAAAAAAGTCCAGAAATCAATGGATTCACCACTGAATTCTACAAGAACTTTAGGGAAGAGCTAATGTCAATACTTTTCCAACTCTTTAATAAAATTGAAAGAAAAGGAGCACTGCCAAAATCATTCCTGGAAGGTAGCACCACCTTACTTCCCAAATCAGACAAGCACTCAAATAAAAAAGAAAACTATAGGCCAATCTCTTTAGAACATAGATGAAAAAATCCTCAACAAGATACTGGCAAACAGAATGCAACAAATCATTAAAAAGATCATACATTGTGACCAAGTAGGTTTCATCCCAGAAATGCAAGGATGGTTCAACATACACAAATAAATAAATGTAATACATCACATAAACAGAGTCAAGGACAAAAATCACATAATCATCTTAACAGATGATCAAAAAAGTCTTTGGCAAAAATCCACCCTAATGACCTCATTTTAAGAAACTCTTTAAATATCATATCTCCAAGGACAGTCACATTCTGAGGTACTACTAGGGGTTAGGACTTCCACATATGAATATTTCAGGGGACACAACTCAGGCCCAACTGTTGTATAGCCTGTCGAAAGCTGGTGGTAAATTGCAGCCTTAGTGGGTGAAGTCTTTGAAGACTAAAGTAATAGACCTTTAATGGGTTGGTAAGAGTGACACTGACACTAATTCATGAAGAGAACAATTATACTTTTTTTCTGAGTGGAGAATTAATTTTTCAATTAGGAGGTAGTTCAGTTAAGAAAAAACTATTAAAAACATAGTCTTGGGCTTATAGAATTGAAGGCTTAATGCCTGCTCCACTGTTTATAATATTTTAAAGGACAAATGACTTCAATTTTACATAAATTTTCTTTAACTATTAAAAATAGAGATAATAGAGCATACTTGTACTCTCAGGAGGATCACAAGTGAAGCCAACCTCGGTAACTTAGTGAGACTTCATGTCAAAAAACCAAACCAAAAAAAAAATCAGAGATTGTAATGTGTGCCTCTTTTTCCTTATAGGGTTTCAACAAATCAAAATAAATGGGAAAGTGCTCCATAAAATACCATCAAACTTCCTATTTTATAGACTTTGATAAATTCTGCAATAGGATTATAGAGGTATCATTGCTGTTAAAAGCCAGGGGCTGGTCGGGAGAGGGACAGTATGACTGGAAAGGTTCTAGCTCCCTTCCGGGCTCCTTCTTTAACTTCCTGCTTCCTATCTGTCACAAGGTGAGCAGTGATTCCTCTGCATGTCCCCCTGCCATGCCAGTGTGTCCTGAAACATGAGTCAAAATATACTTCTCTTCCTTTAATTTGTCTGTCAGGTATTGTGTCTCAGCAACAAAGAAAGTAACTATGACAGCTCATATCCCATTAGAACTCACCTTATGTATATTTTTCTTTTATATTTATAAACTAGATCTAGGATCTCTGATCATGCTAGTTGTACGTAGTAAAATGGCTTACAGGAGAAATACTATAAATTAGGTTTAAATAATGGATTAGAACTCTAAATTTAGAAGTGCATAAACCAAGAGTTCTGCTCCTGCATGAGTAGTTGCTTAAAATAAAACTTCTTCCTTCTGCCAGGCATACAAGTGACATTCACCTGACTGGTGGCCAATCAGTGGAACAATCTTCACCAAGGTTGGTTGGCATCTGATTGCAGCCTGCAGAGGACTCATCCAATGAAGCCATAATTTCCTATGAGGTGAGAGTAAGATGAGAGAATAAAATAATTATTAAAGCAACATTTTAGACATATTAATAATCAAGCTGCTAACTGTAGCTAAGCAGCAAGAGTTCAAAATTAAATCATGAAGGGTGTACACAGTTTATTTAGTTGGAGAAAAATAATAATCATGGAAGTGAATCACAAGGTTTATGACTCACAGGTAATTACTGTTTTCCTACTCTAGGAAGTAGAGATGCAAGTGGCACATCTGGGAATTAACAAGGATTTGACTCTAAAGATTTCCCTGGGTCTCTTAAACTCCGCTTCATTGCCAAAAAGGAGAGTAACCACCATCAGCTGAGGGTGTGGGACTTTTTCTAACTGCTCCAGCAGCAGCTAGTTTGCAGTTACTATTGATGTCTTGGAGAACACCAGGTTAGTAGATTCCAGTCAGGCTTGCTGTGAATTATCTTTGGAAGAGCATTCATTAGGATGCTGCAAGTCCAAAAAGCAAAAGAGAAGAAAACTCTTTCTGGAACTTCCCTTGGATTCCCCAGAGTCAGTCCTTTTGAACAGGCTTCTGATTTCAGAGCAGGAGTCCATTGTACCTCAAGTGTACTTTTTAGACTTTTTCAAGCATAGTTGCGTAAATTTTTTGCTCTGTCACAGCGGCCTCATATTAGACAGCCCTGAGTGAGAAGTAGGGGACCTTAGGGCAGCTCCCAGCTTTGCCACTGATAAACTGTGTTGATATTGGTTGCATTTAAAATTTTACCAAAGCCTCTCTAGTATTCATTAAACCTTATGTAGGGGGAAAGGGGTTGTAAATAGGGAAAGGCCTCATTGGGCCTTCAGGCTAATCCTGACTAGAAAAAGTTAGGGCCTCACTGGAGAAAGCAATGAACAAGACAAGACAGAGTACTATGGGGAAGCCAGGTGCTGGAAACCATGGTAGCCACCCTCATCCACCTCAAATAAAATGCAAAGAAGACAAAGGGCATGCACTTAAAAGAAAGCTCTTTTTTAATATGCAAAAACAAGGTTGCTAATTCAACCTTGTGTGTAAGGTTCTTTTTATTTATTTATTCATTTTTTTGTCTTTTTGAGACAGGGTCTTGTTATGCAGTTCAGGCTGGCCTTGAGCTCACTTTGTAGCCCAGGCTGTCTCAAACTTGCAATGATCCTCCTGCCTCAGCCTCCCAAGTGCTGGGATCACAGACATGTGTCACCATGCCCAGCTGTAAAGTTCTTTTTAACAGACCCATAAAGATAAGATGCTGACAGGCTCATAACAATTTGCATTTAGATGATGGCACAGGGAATTAGGGGTCTTGGGGCCTGGCACCCGTGACAGCCCAGGAAACTGATCAGATTATGACAATAGGGGGAGGGACTCGGCACCCAATAAGAATTGCTGAGAACAAAGGGCCCGCAGGTCCTCCATCTTTCTGGAGCCCCCTACCCTGATTTACCAGGATAGCTGTTTATTTTCTCCTTTTCTCCCTTTTCCAATAGTGTCCAATAAAATGTCTTTCTTTCTTAAACTTTGTATCTTTATTTGTTTGTTTGTTTGTTTGTTTGTTTTTGTTTTTTCTCCGGTACCGGGAACCGAACTCACGACGTTGCGCTTGCCAGGCAGGCGCTTTTGCCGCTGAGCTAAATCCCCAGCCCCAAACTTTGTATCTTTAATGCTTTGTTGATATAGAGTTTATGAATCCCGGCATTATACATAGCTAAGTTATGTGAAAATGTTATAGGCAGGCAGACAGGGCTAGGCCCTAGCGGGAGTTAGTGCAGAGGATGAGATTACATTACAACGTGGCAGGAGGTATATCCATTGAAGGCCAGGCCTCAAGGTAAAGATGGAACAACCAGGTGTACATGCCTCCCCAGAGATAAGCAGTAATTGGTATCACCTGGTCCAATAAAGTCTAGATAGACATCAGTCACCCAAGTGGATAACCAGGACCTCCTGGCTCATCTCTTCCAGAAAAGGTCCTTGTTCTTTCCATGTACACTTGCTTCCCCATTAGATCAGCATTACCGATGCGGCTGTACTAGTAAACTTATTGGCTGATCATAGTTTTGTCCCACATTGTACCCACCTTGTGATTTTGTAGCCACCTTGTGATTTTGCTCTATAAAACTTCCTTTGAGAAGAGGGCTCATTGGCAAGCCACTTTCTGGGTCCCTCCTGTCTCTCCAGGAGCTGTCTCTCCCTCAATAAGATTTCCTACTCTTAACCTCCATTGTTTCTTAGAATTCATTTTTTGATTTCAGGGAACACACACTTGACGTATTGGGACATCTAGCAGGTTGGGAGTTACATTTATTCCTCTATAACATTTGGAGGTCCTACATCCCTGGTGAGCTGCCCTCCTGCAGCAGGAGTGGTGATCTTCCTCCCCTGGATGTGACACTTCTTTATCGAGAGGGGGGAAAATGGCAGAATAGCGCAATCAGCAGCAAAATATAACTTCTCTGGGACTCAGAATCCAGACACGTGGAGAATAACTTAAAGAAAAAAATAATCTTCATGAATTGGGAGGGAATTGACAGGAAAATTAGAAACTACAGGGAAGCTGGAGAAATGGAGTACAACGGACAGAAAAATGAAGCAACTCGGAATGTTCACGCTACTCCACAGGCACAAGGTCAGCCCCAAGGCGTGGCTGCCACAGGGAGAAATATGACTGCACCGGGAGATCTAGCCCCAAGAAATGCACAGGGCAATTGTGAACTGCAAAACAGCCTGGGGCTTCACTCTGAAAGTGACTCCTTCCACAGGACAGGCTAGCATTGGAGAAGGAATCTGCATTATAATAATAGTTGAATGTGAATGGATTAGCCTCCTTATGACATTAACTGTTAGATGTTCTGTAGGATGGGTTCACTTCCGTGACTGAATTCTCCTAAGTTGGTTAGTGAGATACTCATGGCATAGGCAGATGTGGAAATCAGTTTGCGTTTTATCTCACTTTGTTGTATCTCATGACTACTGGCAATTTCTTTAGTGCCCAAGAGACTCTGCCCAAGGAAAGGGTTGTTCACTATTTGTGATTTGTCTGAAGTCCAATTTATAAGCTTTTGACAATTAACATATTTCCATATATTACCAAGATAACTTATAAATTAAGACTTCAAGCATTTCACAAACTAAATACATAAATGTTACTGGTAAACCTAACTTTTTTTCATTTCACTGAAAGCAGAAGTGTAATATATTAGGATTTCTTAAGTATTTTAAACACTAGAAAGTGGGGAAACGAAAACAATATGATTGCAAAGCTGATTGGTACACTGTCATAAAAATATTCGTATGGTAAGTTTAGATTCTCATTGTCTTTATTTGTACACCTGTTTTTTTCAGGTTTACCTCTCAGGCTTCCTAAGATTGAAAGGAGGGTGGTGAGAAGTCACAACTCAGGGCTGAGATGTGAGTGTCCCTTGCAAGGTGACTTATCTGAGTCCCCATCCAGTTAGATGAATTGCTTAAAAGAGACATTACACATTGCCTCAGGAGCTTCAAACCGCTGACATTATTGACTTTGACCCATGTTTTGAATTTTTGTGATACAGTTTTCATTCAAAAGGATGCCATTTCACAGTGCAGAAATACAGAATAAATTTAAATTTTAGCTCCTCCAAAAAATAAGTCATCATTATAGGCCAAATGATAAACACTTAATTTTATGCTCTGTTTTGAGTGTCTTTTTTGTAAAGCACAGGGTTTTTTTTGGAGGGGGGTAACTATTCTTTTGAGTCTCTTTTCTTTTCTATTTTTGGGAGGGTTTATCAGGAGTTGAACTCAGGACCTTGTGCTTGCCAGGCAGGTGCTGAGCTATATCCCCAGCCCCAGAGTTGCTTTTCTATAATGTAGGATGAGTCTATTTTGCAGTTGCTTCTCTCGAGTCATGAGGTCTTCTTAGTTAAATCTTAAGACTTTGGGCAATTTTTTTTTCCTCCCCTCAATAAATGTCAAGATCCTTAAGATTATGTTACTGTTTGTCATTAATATTATAAATAATTATAAGTTATAAATACTTTATGTTTGAAAATATATAAGTAAATAGCAGTGACATAATTTCAAAGATTATTTCCTTATTCTTAAACTAAAATACCCAATAGATTGGAATATATAAAATAATGCTTTTTCTTTCAAGCTCTTAAGGTTTCTTAGGTCCTAGTTACTTCTGCATAAGATCATACTAATTTTACCATCTATTTATTTGGGTTATGATAAAAATTAGTTGAACTAATAATTGTAAAGACCTACATTGACTGCTGTCTATGTAACTGTATTTGGTACAAAGACTATCTTTGATGTAGAATATCCTAGATATAGAACATATGGATAATGTAAACAAACCCAGCTACACATGAATGGTACAGAGTTATTATGTCTCTAAGTCCTGTGAATTTGTAATGACACTTGTGATGACAGAACAGCATAGAGCCAAGTGTCTGTCTCAAAAGAAAATCCTATCATTGCTCCAGGATATCTCCAGACATTCCCCCACTGACCCTGAAGGCAGGTAACAGCAAAAACTGAAATATCTTTAAGAGAAGGAAGAATTAGGTGAAGTTGGAGGAAGATCCTCCATAGATATTTATTCCATGAATGAACAAAGCAATTGGATAGGACTGCAGGAAGTCAGCAGCACTGTTTCTCTCACTATTTCTGTGAAAGCCTTGGGAAAGAAGGAAATGAGTTGGTAGAGGTGAGAGTCTTGGCAGAGGAAGCCTTCTTGATTTTGAGAGGTGAAAATTATTCCTGGAACTCCAGCGGGTCTGCAGAGAAGGGCGCATGTGGGTCCTTCCTAGAACTGTTGACTTCGTATTCATCTCTGAGCCAGCTGAGGCTTTCATTCCAGTCATGCTCCTGCCCTTCAAGCTGTTGGAGGTTTAAAGTTAGCATCATACATTAAATAAAATCTCTGACTAAGTTGTAGCTCTCCTTATGTGATCAGTAGTTGTATTTTTAGCCGTGAGTCACCACAGTTCTCTAGTTAACACCCCTTCTTTCCTCCACTCCCTGCTAAGTAAGTTTGCCTCTGGCTTCAAGTTTGTTCTCTGCATAGTCCGAACATCAAGCTTCTTTCTACAATTATTAAAGATTTATAATTTCAGACCATGAGCCAAGAAGGTTGTAGCAATCTCCCTATACTTGGCTTTGGTTCCAAAGTGATAAAAGAATTAAGATGTGTTATGTACACATACCAATACTCCAAGGTGAATGGAATCATTATATACTGCAAACATGTACAAATTAAAAGTTTTTAAATTAAAAAAACAAAGTGATAGAAGTTATCATCTTCAGTCATAGACATAAGCTTTCTTACTTCTGCAGGTAGGAACAAAGAGTTTAAGAATTTTATTTCTTAGTGTATAAATATGTTTCTTCCGCTCTTTATTGTCTTAGTCTGCTTTATGGTGCTGCAACAGAATACTATGACCTAGTTAATTTATAAACAATAGAAGTTTATCTGACACATGTTTCTAGAATTTAGAAAGTGTAGGTTTGACCTTCTTGCTGTGTGTGTCATGGTGGAAAGCAGGAGGGAGGGAGGGAGGGAAAGAGGGAGAGACTGTGGTCTGTGTGTCTGGGAGAGAGGATGGAATTGCTTTTATAACAAACCCACTCTCAGGAAAATGAATTTATTTCTCAGTGAGGACATGCTAATGTTCATTCATCCATTACTCCATTCATTGGTCCTAATGACCTCTTCAAGGTCCTACCTCTCAACATTGTTTCAGTGGGGATTTAATCTCCAACACATGGGTTTTGGGGGACACAATCAAACCCTAGCATTCATATACTACCTGTATTTGCTGATGCCCATCTTCCATGAGTCTTCTAGGGTATTTACAAGATACATTTTTTGAGTCCTTGAATCATTATTCCACTTTTACACTTGATTAGTTATGTGGCTGGGTCTAGATGTAAGGAAAAATAGTTTTCTCCTTAGAACTTGAAGAGCAGTCCCAGAGCAAAAGCCGGGCAGCAGGCCAGAGAGCAAATGGGTCTGGACTGAAGTGGACACTGTTTGTGCATTTGGGGAAATCGGTGCTCAGGCATTTTACAGCTCTGTTAAAGCATTTTGGGAAAAACAAGGTAGTCAAAGAACTAAATGCATTTTTAGAAGAAGCAATGATTAACTCCAGAGAAAATGAAAAGTTATACAAGACAGAAAACAAAATTGAGGTAAAGCACTTGACTTTAGCAGTGAACAGTTGATTATAAATTTAACTTAAAATTATATAGCTAAATTGAGTGAATGAATTAAAAGGAAAGGGGAGAGGCCAGAGCGCTCAACAACAGAAGTCAGTGGACCCTATGTTAAAGCAACAGAGCATGGTGTTTCATTGGAAATGTGGCGTGTGAGCGATGTGTCATAAACAAACACTTGGGAGAGTGAGGGTCCGCGGGTAAAAACCAGGCTGGGACAACAGGAAACTGGGACTGAGGAGCTCAAATCATAGGCAGTTGTAGTCATATTATTTTAAGTGGTGAGATAAATATGAGGTGAGAGCTAATCATGTTAAATGTGGTTGGGTCTGGGGGAAGGTTGGCAGTGGGAGAGAATAGGAAGGAGACTGCTGATTTTTTAAAAATCCAAGTCTTTTAGTACTATTTTATTTAAATCCATGACTATGCATGTTATTAAAGTGAACTTAAAAATTAACTTTTCAAACAGATTAGATTGATTTTACCTAATGCTTTTTGATATAAACCAAAATGTTCTTCTCATGGTAAGAGGTCATATCTGAAGTACTCCTCTAACTTATTTCTTCTTTTACTCTTTTGCTGGTTTTTCCTTGAAGAAAAGTACAACTTGAATGAGGGTCTGTTGCCTCTGAAATAGGGCTTTGGCACAACATAAGTGGTTACTGAATATTTGTTCATTAAAAAAAATTAAGATTTAGTAGCATTTTCAAATGTTGAAGAAACCAGGTTTATCAGATGGAGTGTGTGCATATGTGCTTGTGCACATGTGTGTGTGTGTCTGTGCGTGTATGTGTGCCTGTGCATGTGTGTGTGTGTGCTTGTGCATGCGTGTGTGTGTGTGTGTGTTCTGGAGACTGATTGCCTTGTGCCTTCTAATTAAGCACTCTATCGCTCAGCTATACTCCCAGCCAAGGTGATGTTTCTAAGTACAGATGTAATGGTTAGTCAGGTTTACCATGAGTGACAAATACCCAAAGGGGATTTCCCTGGCAATGTGGGGCAGGAAGACTTCTTTACAAAATTTAAATCTAGAGTTTAGAATGTAAAATTTCGATTTTGAAATCCCTTCAACACAATGGTATCTGGAGTGGTAAATATTAAACTTTCAGAACTCATAGCCCGTAACATACGCCTTTATGGGTTGTAGGGGCTAGTTGACCGGCTGATCTTTCTTGCAGAATTGCTGTTCTTTGATTTGTAACTTCCCCAAACTTTTATGCCCAAAGGATATTTTCTTTCTGGTAATATGAACAAGATGAAATATTGGGGGAAGGGAGGACTGGAAGCCTTTCCTTCTGGGAAACATTTTTATAGCCTAATACACGATATTTACTAGAAGCCCTTGGATCCTTGACTACCAGAGGGTGAAAACCTGTTTGGAGTATTTGCAATAGAAATAGGACTGTGAAATTACAGTTTATTTCTTCTCAACATGTTTGCTCTCTGAGTTACAATTATTATGGAAAAAATGAGGAGGAAAAAAATTAAGAGAGGAGGCAAGATAGAAACAGGAAGAAAAGGAAGGCAAAAATACAGATGCAACTATTACGAACCAGGTTGAACTCAGTGCACCTAGCCAGGTTTTATTACCTTTTATAATTATATTTTTGTTTTCTACAGGGTTCTCTATATCTTTATTCACATATCAGTATAAAATGGTCAGTCTGAATGTTATATGTACAATAAAATAGATTATGAAAAGTATCACATTTACAGTGAAACAACCATATCATGTAAATGAATCATTGAATACTTAACCTCCTGTAATAACTATTTAATGGACTCAACTGTACTCTTTGAATGGACCAGTTTATGATCTCCTAGAAATGCTGCGTTAGGTAGAGTTTCTTGGTGCTTCTCTGTGATCTAAGGTTTAATAGAAAATCCTTAGAGAACAGCAGTTGGAACTAGACCTCCCAGGACAAAGGAGAGTCAGGAGTGGAAGAAAGAACATTTTACGTGATGCCAACTGGCTCAACGCTGTGCATATGCTTGACTTCAGAGCATCCTAGCACTTGGGGTCAGTCCGGACCCATATATATATATCTCCTGTCACATTTCAAATGCCTACAGCTGCTATACCTAGCAGGAAAAGGAGAAGGACCCCATAGGGAGGAGGAAACTGTCCCAACAATTACATAGACATTTCTGAATTTTCAATACCAAGGGTTGATTTCTAGGCAACAAGTTTACAGACAGAAGCGCTC